TCTACAGTAAATAGATATCATTATATATATAACAATACAAATAAAGCATAAATGGTAATATCATGATTTAATCATTAGAATGTAGCATCAATAATACGCAACCATACCTTTTGTCGTAGATAAAGAGGATGGGGATGTTCCATCCGAAGAGGATCCCAGTCAAACAAAAATTGGTTTGGGGACTTAGCCCTCCAAAGAGGTTCCCAAATAGAACAAAACATGATATAATTCCATACAAAAATAGAACAAGGAATTAATCCAATGTAGAGTTAGAATGGGTAATTAATTCCATGCAGAATCAGAACGGGGAATTAAACCCATGTAGAATCAGAACGGGAATTAATCACATGCAGAACAGAACGGGGAATTAATCCCATGAAGAACTAGAATGAGGAATTAATCCCATGCAGAATCAGGAATGCATCAATGTGCATATCATGAGTGATGCAACATAATTCAGAATCATAAATGTCATAGATAATTGTAATCAAATTTCAAACATGCTTTAGGCAGAAATATTAAGCATAATAGCATAACATATCAAAGTATCAAACAGGTAAAAGGGACACACATATAACAGTTATTTGATACTGACTAATCCTTACGCTTCCCACGATCAATTGTGCAAGGTTATGCGAAATGGAAACCTAATGATAATATTTTACTGTAAAAGAATGAAAGTAATACTTAATTGAAATCAACTAATAATTTAGTTAATAACACTCAAGCGTATCTCAAATCGAACATGCATAGTCGAGTTAAGCTGAACAGAGATGATTTAGACTTACTAGAGAATGGTAAGGAGACATGTGACCACCTTCATAATATAATATCATATATTAAGGTCATAGATTTCAGAATTTAATTAACATAACAATACTATAAAGTACTATAATATGCAAAAATAGGGTTTTAGGGTCAAATTGGTAAATCAGACTGCAGAAACGGACTTAGAACATCGAAAACGTTAGGATAGAGGTATTTAAAAAAATAAAAGGGTTAAAGTCAAAGTTAACGATCAAAAGTCAAAGTCAAATTCAACGATTAGAAGTCAACATTCGACGTTAAATGGTGAATGGTCAACGAAATAACCAACAATCAATGAGTCAGTCAACGGGTCTGGTCGGTCAAAGTCAACTCAATTAGCGGTTCAAAATTAGTTCAAGCAGACCAGCTTAGACAGATCAGTTCAGGCAACCCAGTTAACTATTTGAACTGGTAAAACAAAGCCCACTTGCGTATGGAGGTACGTGGGGCCTCTTCTGGTGGCCGAAAAACACATAAAATTTGTAAAATTATTTTAAAATAGGAAGAGTACTTACAAATGTCAGTTTTCTGAAAAGATTGATAGAGATTGGGTTTTTCCAAAACCTAAATATTTAAACCTTCACCGATCACAAATGGTGACGATGAACAACAAACCAAGGACACCGGACGAACGTGGTCGATGAGACAAATACAATGGTGTTGGAGGTGTCGTACACCGCCTTATGATTAACGATGAATCAAAGAAAACCCAAAAAAAGGTCGCTGAGAGAGAATGAAAGTGAGAGAAACTATTTTCACTTTAAAAAACAAAATCGGGGGAAAATGAGGTTGAAATATTTAAATAACAAAAACTTGGACCAATTAAAGAGTTATTCCTTGCGCTTTTAGAGATATCACAAAATGGCACCAAAACTTTAAATGTTTTTAATTAATCCTATTTTGGGGTGTGACAACCAGTGTTGTGGGACTTTAGTTATTTGATGACAATGTCACTATACTCTAAAACTCAGAACCGCTCATAATGTTATGATATATTCTTGATACGTTCTGTTACTCAATGATTATACTTGTTAGCATTCTCTTTTAGTAAATACATGTAGTATAATGGAGTTATTTGTATGGCACTGAGCTTGCACCTCAACGTTCAAAATTATCTTCGTATACATGTTCTTAGGTGCCAATTGAGGAGCTTATCACCAGATTGTAGATCCCAGATTTCGTCAAACTTTAAAGTATGTCTCAGTTATTTTAGAGGGAATGCATTTTATAGATCTTATACATAATTGAATCGTAACTCTTTTTTGCTAAAATCATATGTTTGAGATGATATTTTAGGAGCTCCCTATTTTGTATAACTTAAATGTTTATTTATTTTTTACTATGGATTTATTATGAATGCAAGCAATGATTTAAAAAATGGTTAGCAACTTTGGTGGTTCAATGTAATATTAAAATCCTCTATATTTTGGTTTAGATTGGATTTGGGTATTACATTTAGTGGTATTAGAGCGTTATGTTTAGTTTTTCCTAGGACCGCGGGTCAGATTCGATGAGTTTTAGTGATGCACATGCTTCTAGAGTGTCTAGAGTATTTAAATGTATGGAATGATGATAATTACTCCTATTTTTTCTTTGAATTCTTTAGGATATGGCTTATGATCTCGCTCGTAGTTATAAGGGATGAGACGAGAGTCAAGTCTTGCTTGTCGGGGATACTGACAATGAGTTTGTCCCAGATATTTAGGACTTGGACGTCCTATAAGGTTCAAAGAGGGGTTGCATATTGACATTCTTACCCATCTAGCGACTGTCACCTAGGCTATTTGCTAAACTAACTTACTAGGCTAAGGTGATCGAGAGGGTGCAGAGTATGATGACCCATTTGATGAGTGGTTCTATAGGATAGAGCTGAAGAGCACCAGATTATGTTAGACCCTCCTAGTCCTCTTCCAAGAGGGACAGAGACTTTCGAGGAGTAGAGAGGTTCTCATCATTACAATCTTGGAGGTCGGGGCAGAGTTCAAGATGTCGTTAGGGGCAGGAGTCTCATAGGAGGCCTTTGACTTCAACCTCTACGAAAAGAACTAAATGATCAACCAGAGGTTAACAGCCTTACTTATATGAGCATTGTGGTAAACGGAACAACATGGAGTGTCATTGGGTTTCTAATACATGCTTCGAGTATGTCTCACTAGAGCATTTCACTAGAGACTGTCTCGGGGTAAGGAGTGTTGCACTACCGTTTGTTCAAAGGTCGGCTATGTCTGTTTAGAGTGGTCAATGGTCTATCCAGAGGAGTGGTAGTTCAGTGTCGAGTCAGTAAAACAAGGGCACTGTTGGATCAGTAGTTGAACCTGAGTCTAAAGTTGCCTCGAGGTAGTATACAGTGGGGCCCAGAAATAGTGTGAGACAATCGACATTATTTTAGGTATTTTCACTATGTTTTATACTCATGTTATTACTTTAATAGATTTGGGTTCCACACATTTCTATATTTTGTGAGCTTGTCCATGAGTAGGGATTCTAGTTAAGGACCTTGAGATTAATGTTAGGGTTTTGAGTCCGTTTGGGTTAGATGTTATAGTGGACAAGGTCTACTATATGTGTTTAGTTAAGGTTCAGGGTTCCATTGACCTGATGGAACTACCTTTCTGAGAGTTTGATTTAATCTTAGGGATAGATTGGTTGTCGAAGCACGACGTGAGTCTGAGATGCAAAGATGGGTACCTTAAGCTTAGGAATGATGATGGTACTAAAATTATAATGGTTGGTGAGAGACTTCGTTGTACTCGTAAGTTTGTTTCAGCCTTAGTGGCTCAGAGGTTGATCAATCAAGGTTGAGAGGCATTTCTAGCTCATGTAGTAAACACTAGAGTTACAAGCCTGATGCTCGAGGATATCCATACTATGAGAGATTTCCTCGAATTGTTTCTGGAAAATTTGCCATGTTATCGTCGAATCACAAGTGCCTGGACATGAATCCTGGAGCAAAGATCTATTTTGATGATCAAATGGAATTGAAATAAAGCTAGCTTAAGGCAATTTTCTCATTATTGATTTAAACACCTATTTACGCTTTCCTTTATTTTTAATCTTTATTTTTCATCATTCTTCATCTCTCAATTGTGAAACCCCCTTTTCTAATTTATTTTTTCTTACAAGTGTATGGACTAAGATCGATACTAAATTGCATCAGGAATTTCTAAGTCCATGTAGATCGACCCTCTTTCACTATACTATATTTATTTCTATTTATTTTATTTGAGAAGGGGATTTAATATAGTTTGACAAGTAAAACGACGCTTAACAAGTGGCCTCAATCATGGTGTCCACTTCACTTCCTCATCATCATAGTTTTGACCACATTTTCCTTGATTTATATTATCATGAAATCAATAGAAAGAAGAAAAAAACTCATCTCAATTAACTATTATTTACAATCAAATACTTGTTTATATAACCCAAAAAAAAGGAATTTAATCATTATGGAATATAATAATTTAATAAGGTGGTGAAACTGAAAGTGTTAATCATGATTCTTTTGTTTTTTGGTCTAATTTCTTTAACAGTTGATTTTTCATCATTTGGAATCAATTTTAGGAGAAAAGAACTTTCTTAGAAAAAAATTATAGAGAGAAAAGGGTGAGAAGAAAAAAGAAAATAAATGGGGTTACTTTGTAGTTTGTAGTGGTGGGTGGTGGATGGTACGTCTAATACAACCCATTCATGAAAAAGGAAAATAACAGTCCACGTGCATGATATCATATCATATTTCATGTAACAACATGTTGAAGTATTGCTATCATTCATGCTCGGGTTGTTACTTCTGACTAAGAGTAAGAGAAAATGAAGCTTTAATGGCAAAAGAATAAGAAAAAGAAAATACGTGGGTCTTTTAGATTTTTAAATTTTTAATTGTTAACTCAAACTTTTGGTAATGAGTTAACAGTTTGGTAATGAGTTAACAGAAATTAACAACATATAGACTTAAACCGAACGGACCGGTAACATAAGAGACCAAACGCACTTAATTAAAAAACTAGTTATCAAAATCGATCATATCAAAAACAAAAGGGACTATTAGCGTAGTTTAATCGTTTTAAAAGCCACAAACGCCATCTTCTACACGAGACAGCTTAGAATCCACCGGATTACCTGTAATACCCGGTTGCCATCCGCATAAATAGCAACAAAGAACTAACAACAGCTACACCAAGTTTTTACCTTCGTTTTTTCATTCCCCATTTCTCTGTTTCCCTTGGACAAACTCACACAGGAACAAAAAAACTAGAAAAAGGGCATAGGCAAAACACAAAGAATCATAATATCTACCCTTGGCGAAGGTTTCGCTTTTTTTTTCTCTCCAGTTCTGATCTGGGGTTTCTTTTTTTCTTTTTTGAGTAATTCTTGCAACAGCTTTCAGTGACTATAAAAATCCAAAATTTTGATGGGCCGTTGGATAGCTTGATTCAAAGGTAATTGAAGGCTTAGTTATCCAATTAAGTTTGATTTTTTCTTTCTTTTGATGCCATCTGGGTTAGGTTAGTTTGATCTCGAAGTTGACTCCAGTTCTTGATATTTTACCCAATGGATTGGTTTTCTCAGATTTCTGAATTGTTGCCAAGGAACCCTGATGCACAAAGTATAAGATTCCTAGAGGTTGGGATTTCTTCAAGGCATTTGATTACTTGGATTATTTTATCTGTGTGGTAAGAAACTTAAGTTTGGCTATAGTTGAATCTACAAGCTTGATTTGAGAGATCCATGATACGTTGCTTCAGGATTTGGTTGCGGTTTGGAACCTTTTTCCCTGAGAATTTTACAAAAAATATTGTTTTTTAGAACTTTAAACTTGAAAGGGTTTGTTCGAGATCTTTAATTTATGGTCGGGAAAGGAATATGGCAGCGGATATGGATTTTACACCTCCATGTGGAATCATAGAAGATAGTTATAGTAAGGATAATGCATCAGATATGGAAAATGAGGATTTGGATTATGTGAAACGAGTCTCCCTTGGTAAACCTCCCCGCCACCTCTCAGTTGTGCGCAATTCCATGGGGTCGGCGAAGTTGATTGCTGAGGTTAATTTGGTATGTTTGATCTCTTCTGATCCCTCTTTCGATCATTATTGAATATGCCTGATCTCTAAGGACTTTTTTAAATGAACATAAAATCTGAATGTTTGTCATAAGGCTTACTAATTAGTTTTAAGTTGCTTAGAAAATTTACATATAATTGTAATCCATTATAATTCTGATGATCTAGGTTTGTTTTGCTCATAAAAACCTGTTGACATTTTTGGGAATAAATGATATCATCCTGAAGTGTTCTTGAGGCCTAGCTGATCTGCATTTGTGCTATGTAAACTTTTCTGTCACTTTCTCTAATCTGATCTAGATTTTAGGAGATGGATTGTACTTTGTTCAGAAAAATTCTATAACTGTTTGTATTTTGTTGAAACATATCGTCTTGAACAAGATTTTAAATTGATTTAATTTGATGTTTTGTTGGATCAATAATTCCGAAGTGGCTGAAGATAATCTATGTAGGTGCTAGATTCAATATTTCCTTCCTTTTCTCACACATTTCTTTTTCCTCCTCCAGGAATTGGATATTGGTATTAGAGTCCACAAGTCATCTTCTGATGAAAAGAACGAGTTTTTGCCCATATTACGATCAGGAAGTTGTGCTGAAACGGGACCCAAACAGTGTATGGAGGATGAACACATTTGCATAGATGATCTTATTGGACATTTGGGGACAACTGGAGAGGTTCCTTCTCCTGGAGCTTTCTATGGGGTATGATCATGTTAGAATCTTCCATATATGATCTGTTGATGGTGTTTCATACCTAATCTTTTACTGAACCTCTTAATTAAGATTTCAAGTGGAACATTATTTAATGGCATTTAGTTTATGCACCTCCTTCAGCTATGTGGTATGGTTAGTCGGTAAAAAAACATGTTTCCTCATTTATATAGCCTCTGCCTATATCATTCTCTATATTTACCTTTGTGTGGTTAATATTGAGGAAGGTTTAGCTGCGGTGTTTGGAGCCCATTCCATAGAAAAAGAGAAGGAAATCTAGAGATTTAATCCAGGTCAAAAGGGAGGGGAAGAAGAAAAAAATGGAAAGACGTAGGAACCATGTGCATTAGTATCTTATGTTAACCTAACTTGGGAGTATCTAATATTATGTGTCCAGCACGGTATACTTAATGCCTTTTTCCAATTTTTACCATATATTTGGACAACCGTAGTCCTATAACCATGCCCAAATGTTACGTCATGCACAGGTTTCAAGGAAAATAAACAGTCTGGATAATACAGTTATCATCTCTGACATCATAAACTGAAGCTAGATATTGCATTAGCAATACCATAAGTTTTTGAAGCACACAATCCTTTGGTCCCAGATGGATATTACTTTATGGTAGTTTTCTCCCTTTGATCTTCAGCCTTCTTATACTTTGCTGCTTTGTCGCTATGTTTAAGGTGTCTGGACATGTCAGTTCTATTATATTTGGTTTGTTCTATTACATTTTTTCGATTCTCTCGTTTACAACTACCTTGAAAGGCGGCGTTGGGGTCAATGTTATCCATTACTTGTGAACTGATTCTTGCCAATGCATGTGGACAGGTTTTCGATGGTCACGGAGGAATAGATGCAGCCTTATTTATCAGGAAAAATATCCTTAAATTCATAGTTGAAGACTTGCATTTTCCAATTTGTGTGGAGAAGGCAATCAAGAGTGCTTTTCTAAGAGCTGATTATTCATTTGCAGATGCTAGTTCTCTTGATATATCCTCTGGCACCACTGCATTAATTGCGTTTATTTTCGGAAGGTTAGTTGACAACAGATTGCACTGGTGATTTTCCTTTTAGGTATTGTTCAAGTCATGACATGGGAAGGTCTTCATTGAAACAAGACATGGTGTATTACATTTATTGTTTTTGTCCTTCATCGATTCATGAAACGAAAAGGATATGTTAGTTTACAAGTCGAACCTGAACTCAAATTCATTTACAAATCCATTATGTTGTATTGGGAAGACGAAGATTTTGGCTACCTCTGAGAATCTAGCATTACTTTCTCTTCACAGGACCTTGATAATTGCAAATGCGGGGGATTGTCGAGCTGTGTTGGGAAGGCGAGGTAGAGCGATAGAAATGTCCAAGGACCACAAACCTAATTGCACATCTGAAAGACTAAGAATTGAGAAGCTTGGCGGAGTAATTTATGATGGCTACCTCAATGGTCAATTATCTGTGGCACGAGCACTCGGAGATTGGCACATGAAGGGGCCAAAAGGATCTGCCTATCCTTTAAGTGCAGAACCGGAGTTGCAGGAGACAGAGTTAAGCGAGGAGGATGAATTCTTGATAATGGGATGTGATGGGCTGTGGGATGTCATGAGCAGCCAGTGTGCTGTGACTATGGCAAGGAAGGAGCTGATGTTTCATAATGATCCCGAAAGATGTTCAAGAGAGCTCGTCAGGGAGGCACTGAAGCGCAACACGTGCGATAATCTAACGGTAATTGTGGTTTGCTTCTCCTCTGACCCTCCACCTCGAATAGAAATACCACAATTCTGTGTTCGGAGGAGCATATCAGTGGAAGGGTTGAATTTTCTAAAGGGCGTGCTGGATGGCAATGGATGAAACAAGTCGATATACGAAAGAGGTGGAGGCTGCAGGCTAACATCCGTCCACGTTAAAGGACATGCTTATGATGTAGCATGTGACTTTTATGAGTTATTAAATGCTGTACATCTGAGATAACTTGGCAGGATTCGATGTCGGACCTTTATTTGGTTTCTCTGTTCCTTCATCATCTGCTTGCTTCCGCCTTGAGACATATGTTGTAGCAGTTTTCAGTTAATCAAATAATTGCTATCATTGACCTTTAGTTTTATACTATTGAAGCTCTGCACCAACTGCAATGATTGCAAGCACTTATTATCTCCTATGTTATGTAAAAAAACAGATTTTGTTTATTTAGTTCATTTGATTTTAACAATTAATTAACTTTGATTCCAATTTTGAAAATCTAAATTGAATAAGTAAAAAAAAAAACCTTTTTAAGTAATAAATTGTATGTATATATTTAATAATTTAAGCCAAGTATAAAACTAGATATAAGCACATTATTTAATTAGTTGTATAAAAATATTTAATTCCACAACTACCATTCCCACTATTGTGAATAATAAATGTTTAGGATTTGGACGAGTAAAATCCAATTTAAAAAAATGATTTTCTTGACTCGACTCGATGTTAAAAAATTTAACTCGTAATTTTATAAACTTGGTTTGACTTGAAAATATTTTAAATTTGAGTCGAGTTATAAAATATAACTCAAAATTTTTAATGATAAATGAATTAATTTTCAAGTTTGAGTCAAGTCCCTCGACTTTGCATGATATACGTATATCACATATGAAAAAAATATAAAAAATATATATATGTATATTATATATAATTATAGATATATATAATTATAGAAAATCATTTAAATTGGAACAAATATTAACGTAGCATTATAATACTTACAAGTTATAATTAAATTTAAATAAAAACTCGAACAACTCAAATTAACTTGAAAAAATTTAAAATAAAATTTAAGTTATAAAATAAGACTCGTTAACTCAAAATTCTTTTAACTCGACTCGACTTAACTCTATTGAATGTTCACCCATACTTATGTAAAAAAGAGATGATATGATATCCTACAAATTTTAAAGGAAAACAATGACTTAGACCTGGCAAATTTGACCCGTATCCGATTACTCGAACCGATCTATCCAATCTGAGATATGATATAGACCCGAATAGGATGATCCAAAATTGATCTGAAACACGAATCAAATCGAAAATGACCCGAATTTTAGTTGGACCAAAAGTAACCCGAACCGAAATTAACTCGTACCAAAAGCAACATGAACCAAAAACAAATCCAAACCGAACTTCGACTTGATTTTAACCCGATAATTGAGTATAAATGAATGAATAATTTATTTATTTATTATTATCTAATTTTAGAATTAATAAATAGTAAAATGATTTATGTTTTATTTTCATTTGTAATACACTACTAGTTAGCCACCACTTCTAGTAATAGTATAGTGGTTAAATATAATCTTTCCTCATTTAAAAAACCATCTCTATTATAGCTCTGAATTTAAAATGTGACAATATATATTCACATAAAATTCTTGATTTTAAAGGTTTATTGATTCAATTTATTAAAAGTAAAACTTCTAACTCTGCATTTGAAATGTGACAATATATAATTGTATAAAATTCTTAAATTATAAGTAATAAAATGAAGCACCAAACGTTATGACAACAAAGAGCGACAACGATTGAGCTAAAAACCTAAAGGTTGACTCAAAAATCTAAAGGCTGACCCGAATTGAAATTGATCTGAATTGACCCAAAAATCTAATGGTTGACCCGAATCAAAGCCAACCGATCTGATATTGACCTAACTCGAAACCAATCGATTCAATATTAACCTGACTCAAAAACCAACCATCCGAATTTGACTCGACCTAATACCCGACTCGAACTGAATTTTCATAGACTCGAATTAAACCCGAACCAAATCCGATCTGAATCGAACCAAATCTAAACAGAAGTAATCTAAATCCAAAATGACCCAAACTGAAATAATCCAACCTAAATCCGATCTGAATGGCCCGATTGCCACCTTGCAAGTGCCTTCTTTGAATGCAACGCATAAGATGCAAGTCTTAAGTAAATTTCAACTATTTGATATGCATTTTAAAATTATGTTAGATGACGCTTTAAAAAATAAAAAAATAAATATTTTTATGATTCTGTAGTTTGAAAAATATTATATAAAAATAAATGAAAAATGTAATTTAAAATTGGGTTAACTATATAGAAAATCACTCACGTTTATGTTTTGTCCACTTTTGGTCACTGATTTCAAAAAACATAAGATATTGTCACTTTCTTTTTTATCTAATTAAGACGTGGTCACCCGAGTTAACTGTCATTAACAACATTTAAATATTTTGATATAATCACACATTTGATCACTATTATTTACATATTCTCTCAATTTAGTCACACATTTAATAAATTAAAATAAATTTAATCATATTTTACAACTCGGAGTTGACTTAGAATTTTTTCGAGTTGAGTTAATTTTTTAAGTTTCTGTTTAAATTTAATTATAAATATTTATAATATTATGATATTATTTGATTTCAATTTAAATGATCTTTTATAACCATATACAATACATGCGTATTTCTTCATTTTTTTTCATGTGTGATATACATTTATGATACAAAGTCAAGAGACTCAACTCAAACTTGAAAATCAATCCACTAATTTTTAAAATTTTCGAGTTATTCAAGTATTCGAGTTGTATTTTACAACTCGGTTTGAACTTGAAATTTTTTCGAGTCGAGTCAGGTTAATGAAATTACAACTCGAATTTAATTCGAGTCAAGTTTTCAAGAGTCGAGTTGAAAAAATTGGTTCTTCGAGTCGAGTCCAATTCCGCTCACCCCTAATGCCACGTTGCCAATTTTATTAGAACTTATCACAGGTGACGAGTTTAAATAAAAAATATTATTTGACCAAACTCTTCACATTAACATGACGAGTTACTTAAACACCGTAACAAATGTTGTAGATCCTAAATAAAAGTCTAACAGCCCTATTTCATAAATTTTGTTTTAAAGCCGTCGTATTGGGCCGAAAAAGCCCTCAAACGAGTGATTCAGGATAGTGGCACAATATTTCACTTATTTAACCCAATGGCCAACAAAAGAGCAAAGATATTAGAAAGTAAAAAGCCCTCGTAGAATATAGGAAAAAAACATCAGATGTCTCTGTACTTTTGAAAACAAAATCAGGTGACTATCATATTATTTTTTCTCTTATTATGACCCTTCAACTAATAAAATAAATTTGATATGTCATTTTGACCAATGTTTTACGTTGTTTGATCATTATGGTGTTAATGTAGCGATTTAAGATACTACCATGTTTCATCTACTAAGTTTGAGTTATTAATTTAGCACATATGTCATTTTATCAACCATCGTAGATTGTCACGTCAACACTATGGATTGTCGCATCAGCATTATGAACTGTCACGTCAGTACCGTAACGATCACGACGAAAAAAGTTTGTCAAGGACCACATTAACTTTTTTTATATAAATACAGAGACCTCTAATACATTTTTCCTAGAATCTAAAACTCGGTTAAACTAACTTTGAACATATATCATCAAAAGTTAATATCATATTATTATTATTATTATTATTATTGTAGACACTCATTTTTGTTTGGGTCTACAAAAATATTTTTATTATATTATATTTATTTATTTATTATTATTAATAATATTTTTTTATTATTTTTATAGGATCCACACTCAACAACCCTGATTTAGTGAGATTCAAAAAATAAATTAACGTATTTGAGTCCTATTAAAACACTAAAACTAACGTATTTGAGTCATATTGAAACACTAAAACTGAAGTATTTGAGTCTAAGTAGGACTCTAAATCTGAGCCAAAAATAGGTTTCTTTAGACTATAAATAGACTCAAGCATCAAGAAGAAAGGACACAGAGAAAAACGTGGAATCAAAATCAGAGGAAGTGGCAACGATTTGAAAAAACCGAGGGAATAAAAGGACAAAAAATAAGCGTGGAGGATCCAAAGCCAGTATCTAAAAGCACGAGGAGTGTCAGAGCATTTTCATTGCAAATACAGTTTCTCTACACGCAAAACATAGGAGATGTAACAACTTTTGACTTATTCTTTTTATTTCATTTTTTATTTATTTACTTTATATATATTTTTCATTTTCTCCTAATTTTAATATTTTTTATTTCTTTTTACATTGTTATATATATATATATATTTATTTATTTATTTTTTATTAATATTATTATATTAATATTTTTTATTAATATTTTTTATTATTCTTTTCTAATGATTATTTTCATTTGTATAATCCAACATTTTTGACTTTTTATGGATACTTTCAATCGATCAAAGGTAATTAATTCGGATTGAATTTTTTGAATTTCAATTTAAATTTTAATTTTCGCAAATAAAGACAACCGAAAAATTAATTGGTATCGAAAGGGCTGTTCAAGGGTGCTAATCCTTCCTTGACCGTAACCGACTCCCGAACCCGACATGTTTCTGGTACAACGCAGATCAGGTAAGATGTTGTCCGACCGACCTAAATTTGTTTTAAAGTGGTCGGTGGCGACTCCAATCCAAATTTTCCAAGTCGAAGCCCAATTCCGGGTCCAACCGAAAGACGGTCGCGACAGTTTGGCGACTCCGTTGGGGACAGGTAAGTGAGTCAAGCCATAATTAATTTTCGGTTGTCTTTATGTGAAAATAGTAAATTTTAATTTTTATTTATTTATTCGATTCCAATTATTTACCTTTGATTATTTTTCAAATAAATAGTTGTACTGACATTTTTTCAATGATTTCAGAGATTTTTTGAAAAGTTTCTATCTCATGCTCTATACCTAAGCTCCGAACCCTATTTAAGTGGGGGTGAAAGCGACGCCTTCGTGTGAATTTATTCACCGTGTGGGCCTAGCAAGTAGCCTTCGGGATTCATATACCTTATGTCTTCGTGTGAATTTATTCACCATGCGGGCATAAGGGAATGTGTCCTCTCGAGTTTAACTTAGTCCACACAAGCTTGTGATGGGTTTAGGACTAAGGGTCTGGCAAGCCCAAGGGGGCACCGGCAAGGAGAACTTGAGTACCGTTTTTTAGAACCTAAACCGGGAGACTATGGAGAATTAGAGCCCACCCTAAAACCTCATTTAAAACCCTA